TTTTTTTTTTTTTTTTTTGAAAAAACACAGTAGCAGCAAATGGTTATAACTGAGTGGAGCTGTTGCAAATTAAATGAAAACTATTATGAAAATTTGGTAGTTGGCAACTTGGATATTAACTTGGATATTCGTATTTCAAGCATTCTTGAAGTTTAGTTAAGTGCTTTTTTTAGTTTTACAAAAAAAGAAAAAAAAAATAGATAAATAATTTGTTTTCTTTTTAAATTTTTATGACTGAAAATGACTGTACCACGGGGAAACAGTGTTTCTCATCAATAGTTTTTATAGTTTAATTGTGTCGATAGCATCTCTATGCCGTCCATTTAACTATCGCTCGTTAAAATCGCTACAAGCCGAAAATTTTAGTTCTTCCGAAATTTATTTGGATTTATCCTCGTTGCAGACGGAAGAAGACAGAAATGAAGAGTCACATGAACCGGATAAACTTTCCGGCGAAAGCATTTTTAAATTGGGGAGGAAGATTGAACAAGTTTGTCAATTAATTATGTCAGATAAGAAATAATAAAGATTTTATTTGCTGACAAGAAAAATTTTCTTTTTTAAATATTTTATGGTCAATATGCTGGTCACTTTCACTTGGTACACATTTTTGAGCATTTCTTCTTTGAATGACACCAGTGCTTTACTCTTTGAAAAAAAGAAACTGCTGATCAGTTGGAAACTGAACTTCTTTTTCTTTTTTTTGTTCTTAATCTTTCTGATTAGTGTTGTTTCTGAGGAGTAATTGTTACTGTTTCTTATAAATGCTACTAATCTTGCTCTTATAAATTGCCAAAAACAACTAGGAAAAAGTAACTAAAAATGTTTTTTTAATTGACTGTTGATTCTGCTGCTTAAAAAGTTAATATTTTTCAAATATTTTCATTTAAAACTTCTTTATAAAAAGATTAAATTTTTATATCATCGATGTCTAGAAGCTAATATCTTACCGCCTTCTTTCAGTTCCTGTTGTTGCCAGTTCTGAAATATATAACCCAAACTGAAGGAAGTTTTAAGTTTCTCAGAAGAAACCTTCTACTTATATTGTTTTCATTTTCTAGATATTTGTATGTGCATTTTCAGTGATGTTGATGTTACGATCACTCTTCATACTGGCCACGTGGGTCGTTGTACAAACGTCAGGCCTGAATTATGGCGAAGACGACCACGCCAGGAACAAACGAAGTAACATTCCTTGCGGCACCAGCTTCACACCGTGTTCTTCAGGATTTTCGCGAGCTCGTGGTGTTGCTACAAACACTATTGGTACGTCTATTTAGTGCAGCTTAGAATGAGTTATATTGTCTTTTAGGAAAACAGTCATCTGCTGGCAAAAAAAAAATGATCAGGAAAAACTAATGACTTTCACCTACAATTCAATTTATCTCTTCTTTAAAAAGACAAAAATAAATACTACTACTTTCAAAACACCAATTTTTAACACTTCGATGTCAATAAAACCTGCTGATAGTCATAGGTTTTTGCTTCTTTCTGTCTGCTTGACCCAGCGGTAAGTCAGATAACTTCAATACTGAGTATTGTGTTTGGGTTTTTAAGTGATTTTAATTTTTCAAAATTTATTTACTCGAAGGTGCAAAATGAATTACCACATAAGCGGTAACAGCAAAATAATTGATCTTAAAATAAAATAATTGATAATTATTTTACTACTTAAATTATATAAGATATGTGCAAATAAACGTGCTGCAGCAGTCATAATATAAAGAAGAAATTTTTTACTTTAAACCAAGTTTTCTGTGGAAATAATGCCTCTTGAACGTAGTAGTAATCTTTTTTGCTTTCTAAGATTTACTTTGAACAAACCGGGTTATTCGTTTTCACTATAATTTTTGAGTATTGAATCTTCAGTTAAGTAGTTCTAAAATATATTTCAACCTCGAAAAAAATCAAATAAATTAACGCTTATGCATCAGAGTAGCAAACGTGTTGAAGTTGGAATATACTCAGAATAACTAGAAAAGCAAGAAAAAAAATTGAAAATTGTTTTTTTTGCTGAAACGACGTCAAACCTAAAAACCAAGTTCGCGGTTTTCCTATGACATTATTAACCTTTCTTTGCCGTGTTCTGTAGTTTATACTTTGTCTTTTTACAGGTCTGTCTGAAGATGAAGACTTCACCGAGTTTCCACGCATTAAACAAAGGAAAGAAAATTTTGAAAGTTTAAAGAGCCTTATTTCAAAAGAAGTTCTTCAAAAGGCTGTTAGCGATGCAATGACCGACGTTGAAAAGGTTTTCAACAAAACTGAGAAAGAGATGTTTAATAAAAGAAGCTGTAAGTTTTGTCAAAAAACGTTTAATCCAATTTATAAAAATTCACTTTGAACAATTTTTAATAAAGATAGTTTTTAAAAAAAATTCACTGAGACAATAATTTTACGCAAAACTCTTTAAAGGTGCTTTGTTTGAACGCTTAAATTTTCAGTTTTTCAACATTGTATAATTTGAATTGTATTTTCCTCGAAAAAGCAGCAAGATAAAAATTTCAGTAAATGTTTATCAGCCGGTCGAGATCAGTTTATCAAACTTTAACCCTGTTAGTCAATACGCTAAGGAACTTTCATTTTCGTCTTTAGTTGCTATTGAGAGTACTCAGAACCTTCGAAAGTAAGTGATATATAAGAGAAACAAAATTTCTTAATATTATCCAATTTCTGATTGTTTGCCACGTTTATAGAAGAAAGTCTTTGTTTAGTAAACCGCCGTTTCAAGTGCATTAATATCATTTCAGGCAAGGGATAACCAGCGAAGTGGCAATTTTTGAGTTACCTCAAATGGAACTTACTGGAAGCCAGCTGGCACAGATATGCCCCATAACTCCAGTGCAGGAATGTTTGCCAAGTAAATATCGGACAGTATCTGGACAGTGCAATAATGTCTACAAACCACTGCAAGGCGCAGTTTATGAACCATTTCAACGATTTATACTACCAGATTATTCAGACGGTATGTCAATCAAAGTTCTTTTCATTGCATTGCTTGTTCGTCAACTTGTATTTTCACACAAAACTTCAATTAGTCATCGTTTTTTCTGTTTCAAGTCATTTAAACTTTTTACTGCTGTGTGAAATCAAAATTTAAAAATTTTTTATGGAGCTTTTTCAGGAATAAGTTTTCCGCGTCGGTCGGTAACTGGATCTTTGTTACCAAATGCGAGAAAAATTTCTCGAGATATTATTACGGACAATATTCAAGAACATAATGTTTGTTCTGCAATGATTCCACAGTGGGCAATGTTTGTTTATGAAGATTTGGCACAAATTGGTTCAAACCAACTAGTCAAAGGTTTTCTTTTAAAAAATTTTTATTTAGCTTGTTATTGTAAAAAACCAAAACCTAGCAATGTAAAACTTTTATAAACAGTAGTAACTAGAGTTTCGCGTAAATTCCATTGGATCTTTGATTCTCCATTTTGTAGGAGAAGAAACAAAACCTTTTCCGTGTTGTGCAAAAGACTTTTCGCATCCCGAATGTTACCCAATCGAAGTTGAAAGTGGCGATCCGATTTACAGCAGTATGCTTTATTTTACTGTTAATATTAGTATTGGAACTTTTATTATATTATAAGACGTCTAAACAGCTGTGAAAGTTTATTATCATTGTTTTTTCTAGCTAATTGTCTACCATATACCCGAAGTATTACGTCTCCAAGAGGCAACTGTTCGTTAGGATACAGAGAACAAGGTAATGGTGCAACCTCTTACTTGGATGCAAGTAATATTTATGGAAGTACTAAACAGCGTGCTGACAAATTGAGAGCATTCAAAGACGGTGAGTGTATATTTTTGTTTTTGTTAGAATTTTCTTCTCACAAATTGCTTACTTTTTATTGCTTATTTTTTAGGTTTAATGAAGTCAAAGATACATCCTCGACAAAAGGAAAGCTTACCAATAGAGGCCGGTAACTCTTGCGGTCTTTTCAGCGCACCAAATTCAGTGTGCTTTTTGACAGGAAGTGATATGTCTACACTAACACCAGGAAGCACAACCTTTCACATTCTTTGGCTTCGTCATCACAACAAAATGGCTACACAATTAAAAGTGGGTTTCAAAAAATTTGAAAGAAAAACGGTACTGGGGGTACTTTGTAGCAAATTTTTATAAAAGAACTTACCGGTGGTCTTAAGGGAGAGTTATGGAGGCAGACTTGAAGACGTGGATTTATTTGCATTATTATTGACAGCTAGTACTTTACTTTCAATGTGTTCTTTTCGTGAATAGTGTTGGTATAAGAAATTCCAAATTTGTTATTAATTTTCAAAATCAATTTTAAATATCTTAATTCTGGTTTCTGCAGTTTTTAGAAGCCTAGAGCTAAAAATAGTTTCCAGCTAGGCAGATTACCACTCCTCTAATTTTTTTTTGAGTAATCTACTTTCAAGCCCTATAAATTAAGAAAAAAAAAATAAAACCATTTTACTGCGGTTTCCACTAGGCTGAGAAGCAATGAAAAAAGCGCCACAAAATAGCCAATTTTATTTAATTGTTCAACCGTTGTTAAAGAATTCAGAAGAAAAACTTAATCTTAAATCTATTATTTTAATAACTCTCTTGTCAAAAACGATGTGAAAGTTATGCTTGTAAGACGTATTTTTCAAAGTCAGAGTAGTGTCAGGTTTAGGAAGCATAACTTTTTTTGCGAAAAGGACTTGGAAAATAGCGATGTTACTGCATATATGATTTTGATAGTGTTTGAAAAGATTTTTTTAACTTGGAATAGTTAACGAGTTTAGGAAATAAATCCTCACTGGGATGACGAACGGCTATACCAGGAAACAAGAGCAATAGTTATTTCACAGATCCAACATATTACCTACAGTGAATTTTTACCTATAATAGTTGGTATAGATAACCTTCGTCGGTATGGATTAAATCTGAGAAGTTACGCTTATGACAGCGACTACGACTTAGTACTAATTTAACTTTACTTTTATATACTTTTGCTGTATCTCAGACATTTGTGATTAATTATTTACTTTTACCAATTTTTTGAAATTTAAGATTATATTAACGAGTTGACAGTGAAAGTTTTAGAGGGCAGATAGCTCAACACTCAATGAATATGCTTCGGCTGCTGGCTTGTTTTTCTACTCATTGTTTCCTAATCGACAATCATTGCATGAAACGGGTGGTGCTCGTAGAACAAGAAATAATTTTCATTCATCGCCTAATGGTCTTTTCAATATTTTGAACGAAGGCAGAATTGACATGGTGCTAAGGTTAGGTTATTGCTAATATAAGTTTTGTAGAATGCATAGGCCATCCCAACCATAGCTCAGTTGGTAGAGCGGAGGACTGTAGAGTGAACGTAGAGATCCTTAGGTCGCTGGTTCGAATCCGGCTGGTTGGATTGCCTTTTCACTTTGCTTCGATATGTATTTGTAGTGCTCACTATGAAGCTACTAGACGATGTTCTTAATTTGCAGTTTCCAGGTCCTTCTTGATCACCCCAATGAGAAAGTTTGGTCTTCATATGAACGAGGACTTTAAAAATCACTTTTTGAGAGGTCAGGGCAAACACGGTACTGATCTTGCAGCCACAATAATTCAGCTGGGGAGGGATCATGGTCTTCCAGGATACACGACTTTTAGAACCAATTGTGGCCTCCGACGCCCAAGCAATTTTTCTGATTTAAGCGATATCGTAAGCAAATTTTAGAAGAAGAGATTTTAGTTTGGCGATGATTTAAAATTACTCAAATCATTTCAAGGTTTTGGATTCGGTTGATGTAAAGGCTCTGTCGGAATTATACGAAAGTATCGATGATGTTGATTTGTTCATACTTGGCCTAGCAGAAAAACCAGAACCTGGCTCATTAGTGGGGCCTACGTTTGCATGTATTATTGGAAGGCAATTCCAAAATGTGAGAATATTACGCCATCTTATTTATAAGCTACATCAAGGCACAGTTGCTGTATTACCTTTAATAGCAATAAAAATGAAAAAATAAGCAGTAGCAAATAAAAATAGAATGTAAAAAACTTTTAAGATCTTTATTTATAGACTCGTCATGGTGATCGTTACTGGTACGAAAATTTCTTCACGCCATCCGCATTTACATTAGATCAGCTCAATGAAATTCGAAGGACAACATTAGCAAGAATCATTTGCGACAATTCTGATCAAGTTACTTCCGTGCAACCAAACGTGTTTTCTTTACCAGATGATTTTGGGTAACTATTTGTTTTTTTTCTTTTCTGTTTTTTGAAAAACAATAGGTAGCTTTTTAATTGTTATTTTAGATAATGATAAGGAAAAATAAAGGATAATATAATAAATAAAGTTGACTTCTTATTATCCTTGTTACGTTAAGCAGAAAATTTTTTCCAAAACCCGTATGCTAAATGATTTTGTGGTGCTAGTCTGTCCAATTGTCTCGAGAAACACTGTTTTATAATAAAGTCAGACTTTTAAAAAAACGTTTTCAGCAACTGCCTAGTTGATTGTAATTCTACAGTAATTGAAGAAATCGATTTAAAACACTGGGTAGACCAGGAATCAAATATAAAGCTACCGATCACAAAGGCTACAATTGAGAAGGCGCTGAAACTAGGAGCAGAACATGCCGAACAACTTACTGAAGCTGAACGACTTCGGATTGGTAACCAATAAGCCCATCTTCAACTATTTACGAATTTTTACAAATTTTGATATTTTATAAGTACCTAATCAGCTAAAACATATTAGCCGTTTTGTGGAAATCATAGGAAACGTTCACTATTTTTAGAAAGCATCAGTCGTTCCAGCACTCCAAATTTAGCGGTAGTGACACATTCAAACTTAATGGCTCCGAAACAGCAATCACTGCAGATATCGCAGATGTCTGCCATTTTAAGAGAAGCGACAAAAGTGCTTGTCCGCGGGTACTGCATCCTAAAAATTATTGCATTGATTAAAACGCATAACTTAAACAAAGCTAAAAGCAATTTCAATCAAATGATCTGATTTACTTAAAGTAAACAAAATTCATTTTTTAAACAACTTTTCAAGTTTCTAGGGAAGGTCTAGAAAAAGACGAACGCCTACCATCGGAGTTAGACTTCAACACGCTGCAGCGATTTCTTCCAACAATTGACATCAAAAAAATTCTTGGAGTTATAAGCCATAGTGAATCCAATCAAGATCAATGTTTACCAAAACCTCTACCATGCGATCATACTTCCAAATACAGAACATACACAGGATGGTGCAATAACTTGAAGTTCCCACACTACGGAAATGCATTTTCGCCAATGCGGCGACTTCTGGATCCAGTCTATGACGATGGTACCAATATCAGTTTTTGCAAGCATTGTTTTTACACTTATTTCCGTTGAAAAAGAAAGTTTACTAAACAAAGAAGTTTTAAAATTGAAGGCTTTGATAGTCCAAGAATGACTGCACGTAGTGGAAAAAAGCTTCCATCTGCGCGTTCTATCTCTAATGCAGTTCATAATGATGCTCCTGAGGTCCACGTGAAGTATACACATATGTTAATGCAAATAGGCCAGCTGCTTGACCACGACTTTGCACACTCTCCCATCTCTCGCGGTATGTTAGCTTATTATATGCTATTTCCGGATCTTTGTGCAAACCATCAATTTTGCACTATTAAAGGACCCGGAAACACAGTATTAGACTGTCGAAGATGCGATTCGCCAAAAACAGTATCAGCTCACTGTTTCCCAATACCAGTCGATCGTAACGACCCGCACTTTAAGAGCACCACTGGACAGCCTAGATGTATACCATTTACACGCTCTCTTCTTGGACAACTGAATCTGGGTTACCGAAACCAAGTATTTTATAATCTCCTGTTTAATTCTGAAAAATTGTCTCTGCTAAATGCTTAACAGTGTTTGTATCACAAGGAAAAAGTCATTATCACAAACTGAAAAAATCTTTTCTTTTTTTTGGAATATCATAAATTATTTACTGCAAATCACATAAATACTAGCCACTACTGGTAACCAACTAACAGGCTTTTTTTTTACTACCACTTATATTTTTAGCTAGATCAGCTAACTTCTTTTATTGACGCATCGTTTTTATACGGATCTACAGACTGTGAAGTGAATTCGTTACGTTTGTTCAGTCAGGGAAAAATGAATTTCACTAATCTTGGATTTAATGCTGAAGCCCTTCCACAGGGGTCCCAAGAACGAGATTGCAGATAAGTTTTTACAAAAAAATAAAAGAATAAAACGGGCGTGAACAAAAAATTAAATTATATGCAAATATCTAATAAATTTTAAGAGCCGGCCGCGACATCCATGCTTCAATG